AGATGAGCCCGGAGGACGCAGTGGGCAAGAGAGGAGGAGTTAGCATAGCGATAGGTTAGAGGCAGCCATAGCTGCCATAGCTGTAGTTAGTAGTGAGTGTGTGTGTGTGCTCGAGTGTTAGAGTGATGCGTGTGGGAAATCCAGGGTGATCCAGTGTATGTGAACAGTGAGATGTTTGGGCGTTGAAGTCGCCATAGCCGTTTGAGAGTGAACTCGTATCTGAAGCCATATCTCTGAGTTTTGAGTGGGCGCATGTCGCCAGTGTGCTGCGTTACTGTTTACGTGTGTGAAAAGTGTGTTTGAAAACGAATCTGATTGCACTACCTTGTCCTCCCTACCTTTTTTTATGATACAGCTACCCACCCTATGTATTCTCTCACTTTCCCTCCTTGTAACTATGTTACACATCAGTTTCCGCTTGGCATGTCTTCCTTAGCAGCAGATGTCCAAACGAGGTACGGCTGGTTTGGGGGACTGGAGTCAGCAAATGTGGGTAGGAACCCCATCTTTTCCAAAATCTGCTCTCCTGCCCCCGCCTCCCCGCCCTCACAATGGCTGAAGTCAGTCTGAAGGGCCACTCTAATGTTTTCCCATACTCGTTCCTGATACACCTGCAGAGGGGGGGGCGTACCTTGTCTGCAGCGTTCATTCCTCAAGGTCCAGATCGTGTCTCTTTTATTTCTTTTTTCAGCTGTGTTATGACCCTGGCCAATTGCGAGATACACATCCACTGAAAAGTACAATGCCATCCAACTGCAGAAAGAAATGAATGAACTTGAGAGGAGAGAGAGGAGTAGAAGAAGAAGAAGAAGTAAGAAAGAAGAAGAAGAAGATGTACACCAGCAAAGACAATGTCAAGGCTCTTCTTCTTCGCCCAACAATCTCCTCCTCCTTATCTCCCCCTCCTCTTATTCATACAAGAAATAATAATACAATGTTGAATGACTGGTCCAGAATCATGTCCGAGTCCCTTTTCTACTGCAGGTATTACTCATGGTCTACCATAGCCATGGCCGCCTCTCCCACTCTTCACACACATAGGCCGAGGCTATGGCGGACTACTAGGCCTTGCTCTGATGTCCAAAGGACAACCCCAAGCAGCTATGGCTGCTCCTGCTCAGGCCGCCATGCCCAGCCCTGCCTTGAAGCTTCTTGGTGTAGCTCCACCCGGCTGGGAACTCCTTGCTGCAGCGCCCACCAAGGTGACGAAGATGGCTGCCACCATAGCCAGGTAAGTACCCCTGGCGCTCCTCTCCCTTCCTCCTTCCTTCCTCCTTCTTCCTCCCTCTAGTCCTTCTTCTTCCTCCCCAGCAGCGCAGCTCCAGTCTAGCGCTGCTCCATCCAGCGCTCCAACAGTGTGTCGCCAAACTTGCACACCGAAAAAGAGGCCGGGTCTTCCTCCCGGCCAGAAGATATAGCGGCCTGCTTTGCCTCTTGGGCGGTGACTTCCAGGCCGCTGGCCTTCCCAAGCAACCGGTACCTCCCCCTCTTTTTGGAGGGAACATCATTGCAGACTCTGATATTGCCCCTACAGGCCCTAGACTCAGACTGGTACCCGCTAGACCAAGCCTACACTACCGGCCTCTAAAAATGCCACTTTTGTCTTCTTCTGCTCGGCCTCCGGTACCTGCATATTTACCCCCCTACCGGGTGCGGTACCGGCCTACCCGCTACTTGCTTGCTTTTTCCCTGCTGCAACCCTCCAAAGCCACGGCCACAGGTGAGTACCGGCCCTGAGGGCCCAACGAACGAACAAGTGCCCTGGCGGGCCACACCCACACACACTCATACCAATCAGCATTCAGACAGGCACAGTCACACACGCAAGCCAACCAGCCCTCAGGCAGACATGCAGTCCAGCAAGCACATACGCACACACACTCAGCAGACGGGGAACTCAGTAGGGCGTTCAGTCTATGAGCAAAACTCAGAAATCAGCTGTGTGTTTCAGTCCGTGTTTGGACGGGTTATCACAGCTGTCGCTTTACTGCGCCTCTCAGGTGCAAGGTCGCCATCTTGATTTAGCTGAGCACAAGCTGCCTACATCCACCGTGCGTGATAACAGCCCACTTGCGTGCGATATGAAAGAAGCAGAGTAAAGGGAGACGCGAGCACGGGCGCTGAGGTGAGAGGGGCGCTGCTGAGGCAGTGGGCGCACGCGCGGGGGGTGCTGGGGCGCAGGCAGGTGAGAGGGGTGCTGCTGAGGCAGTGGGCGCATGCACGGGGGGTGCTGGGACGAAAGCGCAACCCCCATGCACGATAACAGCCCACTAGCGCTGTGGGACAGACGCGCGCGCGGGCGCTGAGGTGAGAGGGGCGCTGCTAAGGCAGTGCGCGCACAACGGCCATAGCCGCGCTGCTAGGACGCAGGCAGGTGATGGCGATGCTGGTCTTCGGGTAGGAGGCACGTGCAGAGGGAGACAGGGTGTGATGAGGGGAGGAGAGAGAACGTGCCTGGTGTATCTTGGCGGTCTGTATTGGTGTTGACGTCACGCACATTGGTCTTCAACGTCGAAGTGATCATGTTGCATGGACGTAGATAGGATAGATCGGCTGAGTAGTGTAGGCTGGACGGTGGGTGCCAGACTGTAGGAGCGACATTGGATACTGTGTTGGTGTGGCCAGAGAGCATTGACATTGGCACACCAGTTCATTGTATTGCTCTTATTCAGATGGTATCTTGGTGCATTTGTGCTCTCTGCTTGGTACATGACTATCTGGACTACTTCGTGATTCTGCAACTTGGTTTTCTGTCTATTGCTCTCGCTCATATTCCTTGCACAAAAGGAAACAAAACGTACGGAAGAGGTTATTTATCAACACGGCGTTCATGATTGGTCTCATTCCAAATGCTCTTTGGTGCTTCTGTTGAATGGGTGCAAGACAGGTCAGCCTTCCGGTGGTTCGCAGGTTCATCAAAAGCGTATCTGAGAAAGCTATCGGGAGGGATGTCATCAGAGGCGTGCGGCCAGACCAACAGTTAGTAAAGGTTGGTTTGTGTGTGTGTGTGTGTGTTGTCATGGTGTGTGTGTGTGTGTTTTTGTGTGTGTGTGGTCTGATGGACCACGGATCAGATATCAAACCGTTCAGAACAGATACTTAGCCAAAGGGCTGTCATGTTCACTATACACAAATCCACAAGAAAAGCATGACTGTTCCAGACTGTTTCATCGGACTATCGGGAACGATATCATCAGAGGCATTCGGCCAGACCAGCAGTTAAGAAAGGTGGTGTGTGTGCATGTGGTCATGTTTGCTGTACACAACTCCACAAAAGAGGCATGACTGTGCCAGAGTGTTTTGTTGGACTTTCACTTGCTCATCAGGAGGTTGAACTCCGACAGTCTGCCCAGGGTTGTGTGTGTGTGTGTGTGTGTGTGTGTGTGTGTGTGTGTGTGTGTGTGCGTGTGTGTGTGTGTACACCATGCTATTCAAAATTACCGCATTTGAGAAGATTGTGGGAAAGCATCCACCCCAGGCTTGTGTTTTCAGATTAAGCTGAGCTAGTGTATGTGAGTCAAGATGCTTGGTGGATACGGATGTGGGTGTTGCTGGATTGTGTGAATCTGGGTGCATTTGATCGTGCAGGCCAACCACCATTGACACGGAGAGGGCCAACACCAACCCTGGAAATTCACGTATGCATACTTGAAATAATTTTATTTATTTATTTATTTTTCAAGAAAAACATGTCCTTATGGTCCTGGCTCCATATCCATTCTGAGGAGCGTCAGTTCGGTTCCTATTCCTGCAGTAACCCTGTTCAGAAGTAGCCTGGGGCTTAAAACTCGGCCCCAGGAAATGCAGACCTGGGCTGGTCTGTGCTGGGCTGTGTGACCAAGACACGCCCAGGCCTGAGTATGTCGAGTGTAGCTGTGTGACTGTGGCATACTGCGTAGCCACACGGGCCCTGCAGGGCCCGTCCCAGACGTTCAGCCTAAAAGCCTAAAACTTAGGACTTACAGGCCCCGGTCGTTTCAGCCTGAAAGCTGAAAAACGAGGGCCTGCAGGCCCTACTCCGTTTCAGCCTATTTCTGGGTCTTTCAGACCCAGAGGTTTTCCAGCCTGAAACGGAGGGCCATTTTCAGGCCCTCATTGTTTCGACCTGCCCCTAAAACTCAGGCACGTAAACAGGGATGCGGAACAGGCCAGAAATAGCCTGTTCCTCACGAGCTCGAGCAGGAGCTGCAGCGGCAGCCCCTGACTCCGATCGGCATTGGCAAGAGCAGCCTCCTGGACTGCTCGCCTGCAGTCAGGAGGCACCGGCGGTAGTACATAGGGACTTCCCAGGCACTTCACGGGTAGGTAGTTTTCGGTAGGCACGAGTAGTCCTCAGGATTCGGCCGCAGCACTCAGGAGGAGTGCTGCAGTAGTCTTCAGCACTAGGCAGTAGTAGTAGCGCTAGCTGTAGTCTTCGGCGCTGGGCGCCCATAGCCGTAGTAGTAGTCTTCAGCGCTGGGCGCTGGTAGGTGGTAGATCGTAGAGTGGGAGAGATACTGGCGGAGGCCAGTGGTACTTACCTGTGGCGCCATCGCTCCAGCTCCATCTTCGTGGT